ATCACTTACTTAAATATTTTCCTTAGCTGAATGTAAGTGTAACCACATCCCACATTAAGTAAATATATTCATATTTCAAAATTATATATTATTTTCCAGTACTTTCAGTGAGATAAGTAAGGATAAGTACCTACCTTAGGAATATTGTATTTTTTGAGAATATAATTAATGAAATACCCATATATAAAAGCAACTTAAGTCATCAAAGGCATACCATTAGTGCTTAATATTTGTTAGTTAAATCTGTATCTAGATCTTAAGATATGTAATAAAAATAAACATTTTTAATTTAAAAAACACAGTGTCCCTATTCATCTATTCAAAGAATATTCATTAAATAGCTCTGATATGCCAGAAATTGTGCAAAGCACTGGGAGTATCTAGATCCCCTGCCCTTCGGGAGTTTGCAGTCTAGTGAAATAGCTCTCAAATTCAGTGTGTTTAGGAATCCTTAGTTAAAATTAAGAGGTCTCCAGCCTCCTTTCCAGAGAATTTAGGTCCATAGGGATGGGTAGCCTGCTAGGAGTTAGCAAAAGATGTCTCATTTGACTGGGAGACTTAATAAAGGGGAAGGGAGATTTTCTGAAGTAACTCTACAGTGCTTTTAAACTGGGATGGAATATGTTAAATTTAATAACTACAATGTCTGCATTACTGGAGACAGAATAAAAAAGCAGAAACTTTTAATGTTTATTGGAAAAGTGTCATCTTCCTTAATAAAAGGTATTATTTATTTCTTTGTTTGATTAAGTTATCCCTATGTTTGTAAAAACAGATTAGCTGATTTTCCCATGTAACATGTAAACTAATTAATTTTCACAAAATAGACATCTTTGGACAATCATCTCTGCATTTATTCCTTTTTCATTTAAGAAGTATGGAAATTGTTAAGTACTTGGTGAAATACACCTAAAATTGACTCTTTTTCGTTTACATTTTCTGAATCATGTAGCACCATAACGATTCTGCCTTAGCTTTATAATTATTAAATTAAAGGGGCTAATAAACAGTAAAGTCACTTTGTAAATCACTAAAGAAAAACTATTCAAAATCATGAAAATCTTTCTCCTTAGACAAGACTCAAAAAGAGATAGAAAACATTACAATGGTTAAATAAGATTCTCTAGAAGAGAATTTAGACTACTATATCTGTAAAAGTATTAAAATTAATAAATTGATAATAGCATTTTTCTAAGCCTTAGTCTTTGTGATGCTGAAACTCATATTCATAAAAATATTTTTAAGCATTTAATTTTATTATTAAATATCCAAAGCAAATGGCTGATACTTGAAAACTATAATAATGATCAAGTGTAAAGAAGAAAAAGTAGAGAAATGCAAATGTTATTTGAACAAATAATACACTGCTATGTAAGCTAGAAGAGAGTAGCATATACCTTCTTGTCTCCTGAATTTAAAGCCATGTAATAGATTAAAATAATTGTTGAATGTTAGGGTGGAAAGCACCTTAGTCTTATTTTATGAGTGACACTAGGGATTAATAACTAGCCCAAGGCTACATACCTTGTTAAAAGTTGATTCTAGTTATAAACTTTATAGTACCTCAGTCTTCAGTTAGCTCAAAATGAATTAGAGAGAGGAAACGTATCTAAAGAATCTGACTAGTAAACTAATGATTTTTGATCATTCAGGAAAAAAATATGCTATCTATTTAGATTCAAATCTCAAGAAAATTGATAGTTTTCCCTTCACTTTATGGTTCGTTGTTTTTGTCATGACTGTCTCAGATTAAGCTCTTCATTGATTTTCTTTTTAATTTAATGATTCATGTTGTCGATAGATAACTGAAATATACTGCTATTTTGCAGCTGGATGAAGAAGCCTCGATGTGGTGTACCCGACCAGACAAGAGGTAGATCCAAATTTCATATTCGTCGAAAGCGATATGCATTAACAGGACAGAAGTGGCAGCACAAACATATCACTTACAGGTATAAAAACTAATGTGGTGTTTCCCTTTTTTTCCTCCATTTTTCACTAGTATTTGTTTTGAATTTTGTTTGGTATCTTCTGAACATTGACTACACATTAACCACATATAGTGATGTAATGTTAACATGAGGGATTAAAAATTGCAATTGAGGCCGGGCGCGGTGGCGCGCGCCTGTAATCCTAGCACTCTGGGAGGCCGAGGCGGGTGGAT